CAAATTTCTTCGTTAATTTCATCCTAATTCACATTTTTTGTGGCTGCTGCCGACAAGCGAACACGAGATCTATTGATGGAGAGCTTGCTTGTGGTGGATAGAGCGTCGATGCGTTGTTGGGTGTTATGCGGCACACCGGCATTCAACTTCTTGATATATTCTTTGTCTCTATTCCAAAATATTCGGGAACTGGGAAATCAAAAATTCCAGAAAGAAAATCTACTCTTATGGGAAGTCAACCATTATGTTCTCTCAATGGCAGAACCTGAAATGATTTGTTGCGTTCGTGGTTCATGTTTGAGGTTAGCCGAGCCTCTGCCGGACCCGCCGATCAAGCGGCACTGACACAGTTTCTCACGGTTCAAGTTTGGATTGAGCTGTTGGTCAAGAAACACCAAATGCAATCGGGGAGGTACCAGATCGAATAATTAGGCTTTAAAACCCCAGTGACCCTTGAGGCAAGGGCTCTCAGTCTGTTTAGTCAGTCCAATGTGAGCAAAACTAAATCTAGGTTTGATTAGCGGCCGCTGGTGCGGGTGACTTGTAGTAGCCTAATCAGTTGTCGCTAAAATCCCCAGATAAAGGATTTAGCCCTCCTCATAAGCATCCGACTTCTATTTGTCCCTCAAGGACAAGTGTGTACCTCAGCCGAAAGTGAAAATCAATTCATGATGATCCGGAACTCGGCATGAATTGATCGTCAGTCTCGTTGGCGAACGTGAAGACCTTCAACTGGGAATGCAAAAGCATTTCTCTCTGGAAAGACCACAAACATTCCTCTAAATCTCCACTGCTGTGCACAAAATACTGATAAAACCACAATCTCAAACCACCAAGTCCACCAAATTCACGTGTTGCTTAGCTCGACCACCACCTTCGTCACCTCGGTATGAAACCAAATAATATTTTGCGATAAAAAAGGTCATAGAACAACCACATAGGGCTGCTTTAGTCCTATCCATAGAAAAATTCACCCCGAGCTCCATGTGCGGATCAAGAGTTCCAACTCAATCCAACGTTCATCTTCGCGGGTCCTGTATTCGATGTATTCGACACGCATAACAAGGCGGATCAGGAGATTGAGTATTAAAATTTGAGGGTAAGTACTAATGGGCTTCAATTCAACTCAGGAGCGGCTTACTCGGTGTGAAAAAATTGGGCGCGGGTAGTGCTTGACTTTAATTCGAACTCGAAGGCAGTTGGAAATCGACGTTGGCTGGGAAGAAACCAAGGCGAGTAACAATGAACAAGACTGATTGAGAAGCACGTACCTAGCTAAAGTTGAAAGGCGGCGCGGTGCGGAATTAATTCTACACAACGTAGATAGCAGGGCAGTCCGGCTGGGTGAGCGAAATGAAGGTCAATAAGGTATTGAATGCAATGGTTGAAAGAAGCTTACTTCGTTGAAACAGCTTCGAGTCCACGCGGATCCGGAGTTTGATATTGGGTTGAAATGGATGTTACGGCGCGGCGCGGAAACCCAGTACTTGTAAGTCAGTAAAAGGCAACGAAATTAAACAAAAGGAAGGAAGGAACCAAAATGTGAGCTAAGTTGAACCCCGGGTTGAAGTCCAACCGGCGTTGGATTGAACTTGAACTTGAATCTGACAAGTGGCATCGGAGAACTTTGAATAAACATTGAAGCAATACTGACCAAGATTATTATGCGGGTACTGGAATCCGCATCGTGGAAGGCCTCCTAAGCGGGGGTCGAACACAAGACCTGTGCAGAATCAAACATCAGGTTGAGTTTGAATAGAAGGTCCGCACCTCTTTTTACTTGAATTCCTGTTGACCTGATTTTGGCTCGGTGTATTGAATTCCCCACCGCGCGCGGTCTTCGAGGTCTCCAAACCCTCGACTCCGGGTAAGCTTCCCTTCATTCTACTCAAACCCGCGCGCAATCTGGACTAACAAGAATTCATTCCCACAGGTAATTGGCAAATACAATATATTCAAGAATTACGTAGGGATAGCGATGCGATATGGACTCGGAGAAGGGAAGGGAAGGGAGGGAAGGGGAAGGGCGAATGGCAAGGACCGGCGCGCGCCAGCCGAACGCGCAGGAACACAGCGCACACGGCATCCGCGGCCGAATGCGAGCATGCACAACGCGCCGAGTCGGAGTCCAGGGACGCGGCATCCTGGCACTCGCAGCCCGGTGGAATTGACTTGACTCGGCGCGGCGGTGCGCGCGCGGGTGGCAACGTATGGCGAGGGCGGAAACAAAGAGGGGGATGAGAACGAGGGCGGGGACGAGGTGGGGATGGGATGGGACGGGTATGCAAAACAAAGAGAGAAGGTATGATACACACTTTTCTCTCCCTGCAGATCGTCGTTGACGGCACGGTACCGTACGTATTACTTGAAGCGGCCGAGACGGGCGGCGTGAGGAAGGCGTCCTACAGGCGAGGTTTCTTGCGGAGGTTGACGCGGAGGCGGGGGTCTGGAAGCAAAGGGTTAGTACGAGCGAGGATGAGGTGATGCGAAAAACAAGAAGATGAATAGACAGTGAGAGGATACGCGCTCGCGCCGCAGGGGGCGCAGCAACAGAGGTAGAATGAGGAATGATAAAGAGAGAGAAGACGAAGGCGGCTGCAGGAGCCCGCGCAACGTAACGACGCAAAAGGGTCGTTACAACGGGGAAACCCCCGACGCAGACGACGCACGCGGCATGAAAGGCAGGGAATAGACGACGCCAAGCGCAGAACGCCGCAGGCGCAGGTAACACCCCAGCGCACCAGGCGATCGATCCGAGCTACACACCTCGCTTCCTTCGCCCAGGGATGCCAGGACGCGCATGACGCAGACAACCCCACCCCCCCGGGCCCGCGTAAACGCCAAGCACACTCTCTGCTCTCCGCAAGACCGAAGAACCCAGCGCGGCACCCGCCAAGGTCTCCCCGCAGCCCCACCCGCCACGCACGTCCGCACGCCTGCGCAGCCCCGGGCGCGCGCAACCGTCATACGTACCACACGGACGCAGAACCGAGGCCGCGGCTCCGCAAGCCGCCCGAGCGAGCTGAGACGCCTACGGCCACGTGCCCGTCTGGGCGCCGGCGAGTAGAAACACACACGACGACGTGCAGCCACGGCCTCCGCCGAGCTCGCGCGCAAACGCCAAGCACGCTCCGATCTCCGCTCTCCGCAACACCGAAGAACCCAGCCCCACCCGCCACGCACGTACGCGTCCGCACGCCCGTCCGCGTCCGCACCATGACGCACCCCGCACTCGCGCATACGTCCACGTCCGTCATACGCACACCGACGCAGAGCCAGAGCGAAAGGAGAACTCGCACGTCCCGTTGTATGCGCCGCCTTTCAAAACCAAAACCGCTTCAGCGAGCTGAAACGCCCACGGCCACGATCACGCGCCAGTCTGCGCACTGGCGAGTAGAAACACGCACGACGACGTGCATCAACGCCTCTGCCGAGCTCGCGCAAACGCCAAGCACACTCTCCGCTCTGCGCTCTGCGCTCTGCGCTCTGCGCTCTCCGGAAAGAAGAGAGGGAGGGGAGACGGAGTTGATAGCGAGTTCGAGATTTTGACGGCCGTATGCGAGATGGGTGCATATAGCAGATGAGGGAGGGGACGTCGCAGGGACGGCGCGGGATGGATGCGTGTCGACAGCCGGGGGGAGGCGGGTGTGAGAACGGGCAGTGGTGACGGTAGTATTTTGAGTGAGAGCGGCGTCGAGTATCGGGTAGATCATTGGGAAACGCCGAGGAGAGATGGGCGCCGCGTCGAGTAGAGGTGCGCAGCGATCGTCCGGCGTGTTGGTGGAGTGAGAGAGAGCACGCGCAAATCAGCGCAAGCCATGCAGTCCAAATATCGGTCCAAATGGCAGTATTGAAGGTGCAGGAGACGGGTAGGTGGGTCGGTGGATGGAACGCGTCGAGCAGCGTAGTACATCGTTCGACAAAACAAAGGAAACAAAATAAAAATCAACAAAACAATCAGCCTCCTTCCCTCACGCAAAAAAAGAAAGAAACACCACACACAGTACAATTGCGCACTACTCTGAATGCCATTCCCGCCTCCGCCCCCACCACTACTATTATTGCCACTCCCAGTACCGGCATCGCCGCTGGAGGTGCCGTTGTTGCCGGGGAGGGCGGTGACGCCGGGGTCGGTGGCGGTGGAGCCGGTTTGGGAGTAGACGGTGAACGGGGGGATGGAGCCGGTGGGTGAAGAGGTGCTGGAGGCGGAACGGGACGGGCGTGAGGTTGTGCTGGAGCTGGCCATGGTGTCGTGAGGTTGGTGTCGTCACTTGTCGTGTGTTTGTCCAATGCTGCTGAGGACGAGAACCAGAACCAGAATGCGGCTAGGCTAGGGTTTGTGGTGGCCTAGCGTAGGCGCAAAGGAAAGCACGCTGGGCGACGGCTGCACAAAGAAAGATTCCTTGCTTGCTCAAAAAGACGGCGGCTATCCTCAAGCCCTTGTCTTCTTATTCTTGTGCTTGTCCTTTGTGTTGCCGCAGATCCGTGCGGCGCCGTCGGTGGCAGCGACAACGCTGAACAGGCGGAGGCGGAGTGGGTAAACAGAGCATGACAAGTGACGCATCGGCGATCGGCGTTACCGCTTTGGGATGTTTTGTTTAACTTTGGCAGCGTGGGTTCTGACTTCTGGGCGCGGTTGGTTCCAACTTCCAGTCGCGGTCTTGTCGCGGTCCAAGCTTTCGGGTGCCCGAACGATAATATTTTCTGAACATCCTTCATTTTGATTTCAACTTTGGGCGTCTAGACTCTAGACTTCGGTTGAAACGTTGGTTGAACAGTAACTCGAACGGGCTTTGCTTCACCGGAAACTCAAACCTCCCGCCCATCTTCCTTCATTTCATCCATCCATCCATCCATCCATCCATCCCTGTGCCCACAGGATGGATGCCCGGCGGGCATCACGGTTTCAACTCAAACTATAGATATCGCACCTCCGTAAATTCTGTGGTTGAACAGTATTTTTCGCACCCACCAACCCACGCCCCAACCCTACCGCAACAAGCAGTATGGTGTAATGTCTGCACACGGGACCTGCCTACGTTTCAAGGCACCCACCAAAATTGAATCCCGAGGTCCTTGTTCGAACCAAGGTGCTGCTCTGTTCCGGTCAAATCCCACCGCTTTTTGCCCCGCAACCCGCTCAATTTCTGGTGCATTTAGAAGAAGAAAGCAGTATGGTATATCATTGCGCACAGCATTCTATTAGTTTATGGTCATGGTAAAATTAATCCTGGGGTCCTAGGCCGCACATGGGGTTCCATTAATACATTTGTCTCCCCGATAATAACCCCGAGGTCCTTGTTCGAACTAAGGTACTGCTCTTCACCGCCGTTCCCTGTTTTACTTCACAACTCAATTTCTGGTGCATCTAAGAGCGGTGAAATAAGGGAAGAAAAGCAGTATGGTGTAATGCTGCACACGGGGCTGTTTTGCTAGTCGTATCCATAAAGAAATTAACCCCAAGGTCCTTTTTCGAACCAAGGTACTGCTCTTAATCACTTCTTCGTCAACCCTCTTTTTGTCCTTACAGCTCAACTCAATTTTTGGTGGGTCCATGGGCCTCCAAACAATCGAAGGAAAGCAGTATGGTGTAATGCTGCACACGGGGCTTCCTTTAGCGTTCGACCGACGAGAATTTAACTCCGAAGTCCCTGTTCGAATCAAGGTACTGCTCTTTCCTGCCACAGCTTTTTTAGTGTGTTAATTTTTTTTTCTTTGAAGGCCACTCAATCTCTGCGGGCTCGTGAGCTTCCAAACAACAGAAGGAAAGCAGTACGGTGTGACGCGGCACACGGGGCCCGCTTGCGATGTTTGCTGCGATGCTGCCCTGAGGTCCTTGTTCGAACCAAGGTGCTGCTCTTCTTAAGTTCTGCTTCACACACTCCCAACTCTTTTGCTGCGAGACACCACAAATTGTGCAGATGTTTACGAGGGAGTAACTTGGAAAGGAAGGTAGTATCGTGTAATTCTGCAGGGGGATTCCACTAGGTGCTTTCCCAGAAAAGCTAATCCTGAGGTCCTTGTTCGAACCAAGGTGCTGCTCTTTTGAAGTTCTGTTTCGCATATGCATGCTTCCAACTTTTTTGCTGCGGGACACCACAGATTATGCGGATGTTTGCAAGGGAGTAAATTGGGTGAGGAAAGCAGTATGGCATGATGTCTGCACACTAGATTCCACTAGGTGGATGCTAACACAGTTAATCCTGAGGCCCTTGTTCGAATCAAGGTACCGCTCTGCCTGCTCGTTCAGCAATTTTTTGTCCTTTGCAAAGCTGCTCAAGTTTTCTGTGGGTTTATGAGCCCTAGAACAAGAAAAGGAAAGCAGTATGGTGTAATGTCTGCACACGGGTCCATTCAAATATAATGTCATCATGAGTTTAACCCTGAGGTCCTTGTTCAAACCAAGGTACTGCTGTAGACTCCCCACACCTTTTTTCCTTGCACGACTACTCACTTTTCTTGTAGGTTCATGAGCCTCTGAACAAGGGGGGTAAAGCAGTATGGTGTACTGCCGCTGCAGTGTTGCACACGGGGCTCCTTTGTGCCACCTCGAGGTCCTTGTTCGAATCTAGGTACTGCTCTGCCGCCTTCCACCAAGTCCTTTTATTTCTTGTGGGACACCACCAATTTTGCAGAGGTTTGCGAGGGAGTAAGGAGGGAAGGAAAGCAGTATGGTGTAAGACTGCACATGGGACCTTCTCACACGGAAGTTCTTGCAAGGTGGTATCCGAGGTACTTGTTCGAATCAAGGTATGCTCTGCCTGCTCGTTCGGCAATCTTTAGTTCTTTGCAAGGCTACTCGATTATTGCTCATATATTTAAGACTTGAATGGGAGAAGGAAAGTAGTATGGTATAATGTCTGCACGCAGGAGCTTCTTATAGAATTCTTTGCACTTTGAATCCCGAGGTCCTTGTTCGAATCAAGGGACCGCTCTCTACATCAGCAAGATAACAAAAGTCTCGTGAACTTTTGGTCTTTTGAAAAAATAAAGTCACAGAAATGAGGTCTAGACTTCAATGGCATGGCTCACAAAAAAGTTTTTTCGGGTGTCTTTTGGTTTTTTGGACATGTCTTGCGGACTTGTGGACTTTCGGCTCTTTTTTGGCTTTTTTGGCTTAGCCGAGCTATTAAAAGCTCGCGTAAGTACGGCTAAGTAAAGTGTGGAAAACGCGATGTAGCTCTTCTACCTCACTTTTTACTGCCCAACTCGACCCAATTTCTTGTAAGATTTATGGGCTCTGGAATATGGAGGGAAGGCAGTATAGTGTAATGCCGCACACGGGGTTTAAGTACAAGGGGTTCCTCCAAGAGCGGTAACACCAAAGTCCTTGTTCGAATCAAGGTACTGCTCTGTACCTTTTCCCATGCTTTTTTTTTCCTTTGCAAGGATACTCAATCTCTTGTGGGCCTATGAGCTTCCAAACAACAGGAGGAAAGCAGTATGGTGTAAGGCTGCACGTGGGACCTTCTTACGAAGAAATCATTTGTCGTATCTGGAATCTCGAGGTCCTTGTTCGAATCAAGGTACTTTTCTGCTGCCATAACACTGGTACCTCTTTTGCCGCGGGACACCACAAACTTTATCCAAGAAAGTTAATCCCGAGGCCCTTGTTCGAACCAAGGTGCTGCTCTGCCGCTTCCTATGTATAACTCCTTTTCCCTTGTAAGACTACTCAATTTCTTGCATATATTTGAGCCTTGAATGGGAGAAGGAAAGCAGTATGGTGTAATAACGCACACGGGATTCCACTAGGTACTTTCCCAGAACAGTTAATCCCGAGGTCCCTGTTCGAGTCAAGGTACTGCTCTGTTGAAGCACATTCCTTTTTGACCTTGGCAAGGCTACTCAATCTTTTGCATACATTAATGAGCTGTGGAATATGGAGGGAAAGCAGTGTGGTGTAATGCTGAACACAGGATTCTACTGAGGGGTCATCTGATCAGGTTAATGCCGAAGTCCTTGTTCGAATCAAGGTACTGCTCTCAGTCTGAACTCGCCCCTCTTTTTACCTAAGCTTTCGGGTGCCCGAACACTGATATTTTCTGAATATCCTTTAACTCATTTTCAAGTTTGGGTGTCTAGACTTCGGTTGAAACGTTGGTTAAACTGGCTTGCTTCACCGGAAACTCGAAGTGAACAAGACTTCCATTCCTCCATCCATGGTGTAGTGTCGCACACGGAATTCCACTGAGAAAGCAGTTGTTAAAAGCTTAATCCTGAGGTCCTTGTTCGAACCAAGGTGCTGTTCTACTTTGTTCCTAGGCATCCATTTTACCTCACAATTTCACTCAATTTCTTGTGGGTCATGAGCATCGGGATAAGAGAAGAAAAGCAATATGGTGTAATGCCGCACACGGGATTCTACTGAGGGGTCATCTGATCAGGTCAATGCCGAAGTCCTTGTTCGAGTCAAGGTACTGCGCTAGTCAAAAGTTGGTCTTATTTTTTACCTCACAACTCCACTCAATTAATAGTGGAGCTAGGAGCCTTGAAACAACAGCAGGAAAGCAGTATGGTGTAGTACAACACACGGGATTCCACTAAGATGGTTCCGAGAAAATTAATAAAAGTTAGTTGAACTTGCTTGCCTGACCGGAAACTCAAGCCTCCCGTGTATCTTCCTTCCGTCCTTCCATCCATCTATCTCTGGCCTACAGATGGATGCCCGTTGGGCATCACAATTTCAACTCAAACTACATAAATATCCTCCTCGCGCTTCAAGTTCAAATTCCGTGATTGCACTATTTTTTTGCACACACAAACTTACCGCCCACCCAACTTACAACAAGCAGTATGGTGTAATGTTGCACATGGGGCCCCTTTTCATCCTTGTAGAGTAAATTGCCCCAAGGTCCTTGTTAAGGTACTCCTCTTCTGTTTCAAAAGTTGGCCCTCTTTTTTTGTGTGTGGCAAGGCTACTCAGTCCTTGGTGGGTCCATGAGCCTCGAAATAAGACAAGGAAAGCAGTATGGTGTAATGTCAGCACATGGGAGTCCCCTGAGAAATGCCGAGGAAGTTAATCCCGAGGCCCGTGTTCCAACCAAGGGACTGCTCTTGTCTATCCTACAGTTTTTTTTCTTTCAAACCTACTCAATTTCTGGTGCATTTATGAGCTGGAGAAGAAGAAAAGGATTCTGTTTCAAAAGTTGGCCCTTTTTTTCTCCACTCAACTCTTTGTAGGTTTATGAGCCTTAAAAGAGGGCAAGGAAAGCAGTATGGTGTAACTCTGCACAGGGGGCCATTTACCATGTCTGTGGAAAGAAGTAACCCTGAGGTCCTTCAAGTTGTTCGAACCAAGGTACTGCTTTGTGCACGTCTCCTGTTATGATATTTTTCTCAGTGTATGTAAGCACACTTAAAATCGGTAGGAGTTCATGAGCATTGCAATAAGCTAAGGAAAGCAGTATGGTGTACTGAGTAATGTCTGCACACGGGATTTCACTAAGATGATTGGTTGTGAGAAAATTCATCCCGAGGTCCGTGTTCGAACCAAGGTGCTGCTCTGGATTTTGGCATTGATCCTTTTACCACACAACTTGACTCAATTTTTGATGGGTTCATAAGGAATGGAACAAGTGAAGAAAAGCAGTATGGTGTAAGGATGCACAGGGGGCTGCTTTGGGGCATTGAGAAACCAACATATGTAATCCTAAACATACATAATTTCATAAAGAGTGTGATTGTACCTTGACACATTTTGTTGACCGACAGCGGTATTATTCCTATTAGTCAACAAATCAGGTGAAGCACACATTTTTTCTGAAATTTACTCACACATTGATGCCGATGACAAGAATCTCCTTGCTTCTCTGACATTCATCGTGTAAAAGTGCAGGCTGTTCTCCACGAGGTGCTCAGGGTGACCAGTCTTGTCTCCTACCTCCAGGCCCACTGCGAAGGAATACATCCTTCTCACCCTTTCTGTGGGTGGCTCTTTCTGCTATCTAATCTTCCCTTTTGGCTCACATGGTGTTCCACCTACAGAAGATCGGTGATATAACAATCCATTTTGACCATGTATAGCCAGGGCAATGAAGTCAAGACCTTCGGTGCCAGATTCTCTATTAGTGGTACGTAGGAAACTTTTAGCTAGGATGTCAGCATCATGATATCCTGTCCCCAGGGGGCCACGGCGGCTCAGGTGGAGATGCCTACGGCATTGGTGGCAAGGGGGGTAAAGGGGAGGGTCCCCAAGTGACAATGTATGTTGGTTAAGTGCTCCCTATTCCTGTTCCCAAAGTCCTTTCTCAACAATGGCAGTGTGAACCAGGGTCCAGGGTTAATCGAATTTCTGAGGACAATATTTGAAGCTGACCTCTGTTCAGACTCGAAGAAGTTCTGTACAAGTGGTTGGAGTCTCCTCCTACTGCGAAGGACACACAACACGAGCTGCAGAAACTTCGTCATGAAGTCACTGGAAGCTGGTTCTTAGGTGATAGCCAATTCATCAAATGGAAGACCACAGCCAGCTCTTTATGGATCAAAGGTATCTGTGAGTCAATTTTATTTAATCCCAATTTCCGATTCCATGTCTGATAATTGTTTGTAGCGGGTACCGGAAAGAGTGTACTAAGGTAATTTGTATTACTACTACATACACAATATTGATCTGCTACTGACCATTGTGACAGCTCAACAGTGATTGAAAATATCACCGTGGACTGTCCAGACCAGACCGCAGTCACATATTTCTATTTTGATTTTAGGAATGAGAGGCAGCACATGGACCTCATGTTACGTTCTATCATCTGGCAGCTCTCTGGACGGTCACCTTCACCCCATAGCTCTCTTCATCAGCTATACAAAACACTGGGAAATGGAACTATACAGCCACAGCATGTCCATCTCCAAGGAGTCCTTGAAGATCTACTTTCAGAGCTAGACCAGACATATATTGTCATTGATGGGCTCGATGAATGCAACAAGACTGACTGGAAGCACCTCATTAACTTCATCCGCCACCTAGGCCAGTCTGCCAATGATAAATTGCACCTTCTGTTTACCAGTCAACCTCATGAGGACTTCAATAATGCATTCAAGGATGTAACTTCCATCGAGCTTGGTTCTGCGCCTTCAACTGGTGACGTCAGGTGCTTCCTCAGCAGTAAAGTTCCTGGGGCCAGAAATTGGCTTACGGATGAGAAGTCCGCTGAGGAGGTCACGGAGCAGATTATGCAGAAGAGCAATGGAATGTCGGTCATCTCATCATACCATAATTTGTCCTCAAGCTTACTTGCATATCCAGGTTCCGCATGGCCGCATGTCTCCTCATTGAACTTGAGCATTGTTATGAGGACAAATGGCAGGAGACCCTCACAGCCCTTCCATCTGATCTGTTCTGGATTTACAGTCGTTTTTTAACCCGGGCAAAAGCTTCTCTCAAGTCACCTTTCATCCAAGCAATTTTCCGGT